CAAAACTCCAATGGTAAATGACTTCTTGTTACATGTCATTTTATATCACCTCATGGTACATCTGTATAAAAAGCTTTATCAGAACCCAGGTTTCACACTCCTTTCTCCATAAAGATTTATGCTACTCTAAAAAGTGGGTACATGAAACCTGGGTGCAAACCATGCCTCAAACACTATGGGTCAATTCTGCTGAAAAAAAACAACTAAAGCTAGTGAAAGGTCTAACAATGGCAACCAAAAGGACTATAAAAGCACTGGATAAGTACAGAACCATGATTCACCACATCATCTGGTATTAGAACCAGAACTCAGCGCACTGAGTAAAACATTAGTCTAAAACATATTTTTAAAATATGTGTTTTAAACTGATGTTTAAAAAAAATATAGAGGGATGTGCTGAAGACATCCGGACCTGTGTACTCACCCTAAGCTGCATTTCTCCAGCAGCCACTATTGGAGGTAGGACATTCTTAGCATAATTTCTTATGCTTTGACATCACTGAAGATCTCATCTGGAACTAAAGAGGGAACCTGAACAGACGAAGATCTCTAGCAACATACAAGACGTAGATAAAAGACCACTGAACTGTCTCAGCAACATAATTAAGTCTAAACTAAAGTCTAAACTCAGGCATTAGGGCATGCTCCCTATTGTGAGGTAGTACTACATCTTTTCCCCCAATCACAGAGATGCAAAATGCAAATACAGTGCTTAACAGGTGAGGACAAACAGCTGACTGGCACAAGGGGTCACAGACCTGGAGATGGCATGTGACATACAAGTCTAGCTGGGAGGGAGAGGAGAAAAGAGGAAGTGGAAACCTGGCTACAAGTCATACAATACTGGGACTTGACAGGTCTTAAGTGGGACAGGCAGAAAGTTCAGGGAAAAGATGTGTAGTTTAGGATGGAAGTTTGAAATCAAAGCTTGAGGTGACATGGTGTGGAACTTCTAACGGAAAGAGAAGAATAAGAAGGCAGGAAGAAAACACCTCCTAAAGACATTCCTATTTCTTTGATTTTTGCTCTAGGACTGATCTTTTCTCAGTCCTTGCCTACATAAATGTGCTATGAACTTGACAGGCTGTCAGCCAAGTATTGTAAAGCAAGCTATCCTGCCACTGATACAGCTGTCACTGTGTTAAGTCCTTGATATGGTGGATGTGAGGCAGCTTCCCAAATGTTAAGCTTCTGAGTACACCCACTATTTCTAGAAAAATGAGCTAATTCAGTCAGAGTTGAGGATTTATTCAGTTAATAAAGTGTTTTCATATGTTCAGACATCTTCTATGTTAACAGTATAATTAAACATGCATGTGCACACACACACCTGTCCTTGTACACATATCCTTCTCCTAGGTATTACCTGAGATGCTCCATAAAAAAAGGAAATCAGAGCCTTGGGGACCTACATGACTTTTCAGATTCCCAGAATACAGACTGCACATTTAGAGGTAGCCCAAGGTTCCTACCCACCCTCTTCCTCTCCTACTAGGTTGTCTTGGCCCTCATTACATGGCCTGTGCTTCTAGGGATAAGGGTCTGGCAAAGTCTGCATTCTTTTACGAAGAGTGTAAATGGCTTTCCTATTTAATGCCCGCTGTCAGATTCGCTCTGATTATGTGGGTGTCTCTCCAACAGGCATGGAGAAGTCACAAGAGACTTCCAATTACTGGTCATAAATTATAAATAACATTTGCCAGCATCGTGAGAAATCTAACTGTTCCTTTGATGAACAGACATCTATTCTGATGTTCACAAACCTCCTGAAAAGCTATCTGATGGCAGATATACACAAAAATGCGGTTCAGGGCAATTTAATTTTAGTTGTAAAAGACATGCTTGCAGCTAAGCTGTAGTATGACAGTGAGAACTGATAAGGCTGTTCCAGACAGCAGGAGGTGGAGATGAGTAAACTCCTTTGCCAACTGACAGATTGCATGTCTGACACATTGCAGATGTAAATCCAAGTAACTCAATAGGGAGACTGAGCTGAATCACACTCGCCGGGGATGTGCCTATGTCTTCAGGGCAAGAGGTAGCAGGAAGAGAAGACAAATTCCTTGATATAAACTGGAACATTGTTATGCCAGCCAGGAACCTCCCTTGGTTTCTCTCTGAGGCAGCCCAGAGTGCCATGCTTGTCCGTTTGCCCAGTCACATGATTTTTTTTTCCCCTCTTTTTTCCCCACATCAAAACTGTGAAAGCCAAAGTTGCGTTGCAAGAACACACATCTTTGTTGGAGAGTAACATTATGAATGCAAAAGGAAAGAAAAACCCTTTTACTGCTTCTCTGTGAAATACGATAGTGTTTAGATCCTGAAGAAAAGGAGCTGGGGTTTTGGTGCTACCAGCTGAGATATCCTAATCACACATTCCATCTTCTCAGAAAAAAGTAAAGAACAAAACCCAAAACTAGAGGAAGCTCAGAAATTGATTAGATTCCTCACAGGAAGGGGAAATTTTATAGCTCTGTCAAGACTGGATATACCCTTGGGAGATGCCCTTCCATCAAGCATTCACCGCTGGGCGCAGCCCAGAGGTATTAATGAGTAGTGATATTCAGCAGGCTAGATCAGGTCAGGGAATGTTTCCTGCTGGCCTAGGAATGCAGCATTGCCATCAATCCATGTGCAATTGTATACCAACTTCTGAAGTGTGGTTCATTAACTATAATTACACATTATGACACCCTTGCAACAGCAGAGAGTACACAGTGTTTCAGGCATCCAAAAGCTTAGGCCAAATCAAGACACGAAAGCCAGGAGTTTTGATTTTTGTTCTGTTGCTCTGACCCCAAATCACTCTTCCTCCAGTTACTTCTAGGCATAAACAACAGAGGTGAGAGGAGGAATGTATCATTGTGCAGAGAATCTAGCAAAATGTTGTAGTGATATTCGCACTTGCAGCTCATCCACAAATTTAGGAACAGAAATACTTTCCAGACACCTGTAGTGTTCAGCACCACTAGATCTCTAGGCTTTTCTATAATACAGCAGCGATTCACCTCAAAATGGATACCAATCGGACTATTTAAGGCTTTGGGGCAAAAAAATGTCTACTATTTACAAACACTTAATACTTAGCTAAGAACAAATTGTTACCCATATCTTGTCATTTCAAGAACTCAAATGATTTATTTTTGATCATGTTCCACATCTCGCCAAACTTACAGCCCTAGGCTATTGAGAAAGTTCAGGATGAAAAACTGAAAGTGTAATTAAAAAGCGTACAACAGGAGGAAAAAAGAGAGCGGAAAAAATGATGGTGGTTGCCACATGCACAGCACTGGGTTGTGATTTTTTCTGATTTATCAGCTGGAGTTGTATTAAAGAGTTATGAGTCATAGAATTCTTGTGTGATCAACTGTCAGGAGCACAGTGGCACTGCAGCAGCTGCCAGAGCACAAGCTGGGCTGCTGGACACCATCTCTTTGCCCTCTCCCTTGAGGAGTCGGAGTCACAACTTTGGTCCTGAATAAGTGGAGAGGTGCTGCCTCTCAAGAATTAGCTTAACCAGTCTGCCAGTTGGTAGACAGCTTTAGTCGTGAAGCAGGATACAAGATTATCACTATTTTTAAAAAAAAATTTCTTTTAAAAGGAGAAATGGTTTTTGACCCTTAAGAAGTATCCCTAGCTTTATAGAGGCACCATATAAAAAGATATCTCTAATATATTCATAGTATACCTTTCTGCATGTGCACAACCAAGTACCACACAGAAATGTGTAAAAGTAAGCACATATAGACCTGCTCTAATATTGTGGTCTTCAACCTTAAGAAATATTTTTTTAGATAATCACTGTGCAATTATAGCATTAGAACAAGTCAAGAGTGGTGTGGGATACAAAAGCGAGCAACACAAAGTGTTTGTAAGACATTAGTTCCCCCTCTTTATGAGCAGTTATGCCTGCATTTTGTTTTCTTTTTGTGCTCTACCCTGGATGCTGATATTAAGATTTCATTCTTTAAAAAATGATTAGCAATACAAGCAGTTCTTGGCTGGCAAATTCTGATGATAACAAAAGACATCATTCACAGGTTTTAAAAATAAACTGGTTGTGAGGCATCTGATTACTGGATCCATAAACATTCAGTGTTATAGTAACTTTGCTGGAACCTGGCAGGTTTTTGATCCAATTCATTAGGCAATGTATTTTTAACACAATAGGAACTCCCATTGCAAGCTCCCCTTAAGGCTTTCTGTGGGATTTCTTCTAACCTACTAACCAATTTAAGAATTCCTAATAATCAAAGATTCACCAGGACCATACAGACGTTACAAATAACCAGATGAGATTCTGAAGACATTCAGAAGCCTGTCCTTAATAGCATTCATCTCTCTGGTTAAGCAAACGTAAAATCCTGACCCCAGGAGAGGGTTTAGTGGAAGGCAGCCATCCTGAGTAGCCAGTAGAGATTTGCTACCACAGAGACACAGACTGATTAGGCCCTCTGCTTTCCTCATGTTGTTAAATTAAATCAGGGCAAAAAAAAACACGTATTCCTTCTATCATGAGGGGAAAATTAATTTTGCCCCAGAAATGGTAATACCAAACACCTCAAACATCATCTTCAGGGCTATGGGACTCAGAAAAGGGTACATTCCTCCTCTTCAGAAAGATCATCAGAGTCTGGAGCAATCTGAATTCTTTCTATCTTTAATATATAGTTAAGAAAGCTAAATGAATAAATGCATCCATTTACCATGAGCTAATGAAAACTTTTGTGGTTTATAAGTAGTAACTTCCATTCTAGAAAGTTTCAGAGCCTTCGTATACATGGACTTATAGAGTGGAAACTTCCCTGCACAGCTCTGACCCTCTTGCATTAGAGGATAGGCACTGAGCAGAAGGCAAAAGGCTTTTCACTCTATTCTGTATTGTTACCATCCGTTATGTTTTGTGGTTTGTTTTTTTTCTCCTCAGTCGCAGTGTGGCCTGTATCTGCTGTATAATCAATAAGAGTTAACAAGGAAAGATTTGAGATCATGACACTTACTCGGAGTGTTCAAGAGACGTGACTTTTTGCAGTGGTAGGCTGCCTCCTGTTCGCAGTACTCTGCACTGTTTATCATAGCTTCAAGCTGTTCTGCACTGCTGTTGTAGTTAAAGGATGTAGTGTACGGCTTCTCCAGACCAGCTCCTTGGACTCTGGTTAGCCCTGTGTTGTTGTGCTGCACTGTAGTCCAGATCTTATCTTCTGTTAAATGAAAAAAAGATTGAATGGGGAGTCAACAACAAAAAAACTTGCAACAAGCAAGGAACAAAAACCCAATTGAAATCTAACGCTTTACTGCACTGGAGGGAAGATCAGCAGGACCCTGGGCTCTGAAGCGGTCACCCTGTGATGAAGACCTGTTACAGGTCAGTGTAGCCCACAGAGCTGTTTCTCCCTGAATGAACTCGAGCAAACACTACGGAGCCTGCTGGGCAAGAGAGAAACTACTGGCTTCCTGGGAACAATGGGAGATTTTCAGCATCTTCTATTGCCACGTATATGCAGAAAATTAGATACATTTCAACTGGCTTTGTCCCTGAGAGAAAAGACATAATAGTATGGCTCATAATGGTAACACTCAACTTCTGCAAACACAGCTGTACCTATGACCACAGTCCACACTGCTATAACAACAAATGGTAGTGGAGAACTGATGAGCTCACACAAACTCACCACAAACAGAAACAACAAACCCTTTCCCAAAAGCTAAAACTGAGAGTATGCTCTTACCACCCAGCTGGAAGTCAAATCACTTATTTTACTCAGTTCTCCAATTTTTCTACATATACGTTGAGTGATGCCCTGCTTGGATGATGGTACAGAACAACATATGACTTGGCATCTCTAGTTAACTGTAAATGGTGATGCTTTTCCATGCTGGGGAGCCCATTCTCATCTCCTTCATTGCTTTTCCTGGCAGAACAAGGGATTTCATAGGCGACAGAAAGCAGAATCTAGGCTTAAGCACAACCTGCAGCTTCACTACCCAGCTAATGACCAGCATTAGGGTTGGCCTGATAAGGAGAACATCACAATTAGAAGCTGTTAGCTTTGCAGGGAGGCTCCTTTCCTGCTAGTTCTGGTGAGAAAGCAATGGCCAAGGTAACAAGGACAGCCTTAATGGCCAATCTGCTGATCTGACCCAGAGTAAAATGCAAACTCTTTAACAAGGATTCACAGGACTGAGCCCTGCATGTGCTCCATGAGGTTACTAAGAAGTAAATTTCAGTAAATTCCCTTTTTATAAAAGACCCTGCTTGCCCGGGGAGGATACCTGATACTAACAGGGAAAAAAATTAAGGAAGTATATTCTAATAATTTGATCAGAGGAAGATTTCAATCTCACTTGCAGAAACCTGCAGACAGTTATGGAGAAATAGGCAAGATCCAAACAAAAGATTTATATTTTCTTATTCATGCTTCAATAAGTAAATCTTGGATAACACCGATCTAAATCTTTTCTAAACTGATCTTAAAAACTGTGCATTTAAGTATTCAGATGATTTTACCAGATTACCTGATCTGAGTTCTTGGAGAGCATCAGCTTTCCAGTTACTCTCCAATACACTGACATGATGAGCCAAGTAGCTTTGTGGCCACTGCATTACATTGCATTGCATTGTTTTCCTTGAGCTACAAATATCCCACAGATTACTTCAATAGAACTCTAATAGGAGTATAAAAATCCTAAATGGACTATCTCTGCAAAACCACTCAGATGATTTAATGGATTGTCATTATGGAGGCATTCAGATGACAGGCAAGTAACAAAAACCATCTGGAGACTATTTAAAGAGGTCTGTTCTAAGACCGAGCTGCAAGTTACGGAGAAATTACTCTTCCAGTAATGTATGGCATTAACTGTACGGACAGTTTACACTCAGCAAGCCATACATTCACTCACAACCCTTTCATCATTTCTGTGATGGTAGACAGAAGAGTTTGCGCACAGATCTGTGATTCTGTGGTTCTTGTTGAGTTCAGGATGCTGCTTGTGGGTCTTTTGAGTTGAAGCTTAATAAAACACTGCTGCAATGTGTGATACATGAAAGTTAGATTAAAATCACAAGAAATATTACAAATTTATTGCTTGTAAAAGTTGCCCCAGCGGTTGTAATCACAGTCAACACTGTAGCACAATACCCTGCACAGTCCTGCACAATATATTACTTCCAACATGATATAATTCAATGACTTCATAACACGTATCTTGTACATCTGAAAGCAGTGATTCTTATCAGCTAGAGACTCTCTTTTTCCTTTTGTTCTCTCAAGGATTGACATGAACAGAGTGGATGTTTCAGAAGCAGTTGAAGGTGAGCTAACTTTCCTCTTATGAAAGCTAGTAGAAGTTTAACCCCTGTCTTCACTGAAAAATCTACTAAAAAGACAAACATTAAATTACTGATACTTTAAGTGAGATGTAAAACCAAGAGATGATGAAACTCCAGATGGGCAGTCATAAGCTCCTCCCCACTGAGAATTATTTACATAATTTTGAGAAACTTTGACAAAAGCAATGCTCACAATAGTGACTACAATGCTGCTTAGGAAGCACAACAGCCCAAAGCTAGAGTTTCAGAGTGGTTAACACTACTGCTTTCCAGGCTGTGTAGTTGTACAACAGGAAAGGTGCTATGTGGGTACTTGAAAAGCTAAAAGTATCAAGATCTAGCAATTTAGAAGCAATGAAGGATCATTTGGAAAATTTTGTTAAAAGTAGCATAGCACAAAACACTCTTCCCAAGAAGTGTTGGAAATGTAATTAATTGACATATTTGAAAGGAGGTTGGACAAGACAATCATTAACAAGTGTGTTGGACAGATAATGCAACACGTCTTTCTCTTATTTTTCTCTGTGATTGTTCATTAATTTTCAGTGGTTTTGTTACCATTACAGCTGCACTCAGCTGTCCCTCTGAGATCTGAACTTAGACATTCAAGAACTGCTTTTCTCCACAGGATCTTTTACAAATGAGAAGCTAACTGCAGATATTCTGTCCTCTAGATTGCAAAGGGAAAGGAAAAACAAATCAAGTTTTTTTCTGTGCTCACAGTAATTGCGATTTAACAAGTACTTCAGAACAGAGAGCTAACAAAGTAATGGTGGAAGGGAAGAATCCTGGAGTTACATTTCAGACATTTCCTAATCTACATATGCCTGATCTGTTACACTTATTACTTTTACAGATCAGACCTGTGTTTTGCTGGTCACCTTGAAGATTCTCTCTGCGCTCCATCTTTGAAGTAAAGGTAGCCATCAGTACAGCTTCTCAAAAAATACATATGGTTCACTGATCTAGTGAAATGAAAGTTACAGGCACCAGTGAGCATACCTCCATTCAAAAGTTTGTTTCTTTCCCTATCCAAAGTCAGTTTTCATTATATTTTTAGGCAGTGACATTGAAATCATAGATGCAAACCAAGCTGAGCACCATTGGCTCCTTCCACCCATTTCCATATCTGGAAACTGTTAAACTAGACAGATAAGGCTCTCTTTTCCTTTATTTCAACAAAGAAGTTATCGTTATCTTTTAACATCTGTCCATACTATGTTTTTTTCCTATTTACCCAATTTAATGAGCTCTCCCTGCACTTGTGAATTGCAATGACAATGAAAAACCTGTTCTCTAGGCAAAGGTCACTGTTTATTTTTACCTTCTATTACTCCACTTTATTATTTTATTACTTTCGCAGCTTGGTAAAATTTCAAACCACACACAAGCTAAAAGTCATTCAAAACCCAGTAGGAGAGTGCAGCCACATCTTCTACTGTATAACTTGGAATAGTTAAATGCAGCCTTGAAAAGCAGATTTCCTGATTGCTTGTTAAATTGTTCCATAATTCAAAGGTGACAATGCTTTAATTTCAGGGTAATGCAACAGCTTTATGACTTCACAGTTTTATTTAATGGTCCAATTTACTAGGATATTATGCTGCCTGTATTTGGTCCTAGGAGATGTTTTTACAACATGGGACTGCAATGCATTCAGCACATTTTAGACCCTTATTTTAGCCTCACCCATAGTTCTATCATCTTGCTGGAAGCCTCCAAGTTGCTTTTGACGGCACACAAATTAAATTGTGGGAAATTAGAGCAGCTGGAAAACTGGCTTTCAATGAGTTCTGTATTGTCTAATTCTCATTTTTATTCTTCAACTTGAAATATCTCTGTGGAGCACATTTCACCCATACAAACTGTATCACTCCTTTGTGATTTAGGAGGCTTGTCACAAAACAAGATTATTCAGACTGATTAAATTGCCAACAAGCCAAACATACGGTAAGTGCTACATGAGAGAGAGAAAAATTGCTCTGAGAGCCCATATGATGCATTTGTTTCATAGTGTTCTACACTGAATGCCAAATATTGCCCTGAAAGCTGTACCTATAACTATGGAAGTAATCATACAAAAGACACAGTCTCTTCCTTGAACACTGTACTGTTTTAAGTTGCAGTGGCAGTTTATCCCAGCCACTCTAACATACACCCCTCAAAGAACATGAAAAAACAATTTCCTATCACAAACAGCTTTAATTCACTGACTCCAAGGAGATGTTTTCTGAGTCTCTGATGAAACATAACAATTTTTTTTTAACTACTTTTTTTTTTTTTTTCCTGCTGGCTGACCCAGCAATATGTGCTTTTGCAGCTTGTTTTGTGCTCATCAGCTTCCTCCTAGTTTCTGATTCAGCCACTTCCAGCCACTGCAGAAGGACCATAATGCATTTCCATGGAAACAATTCTGGGGGGGTTCCTGTCCCCCCAGTCCTGCATGCAGCCCACTCTCCAATGGTACTGGCAGACTGCACCTGCCCTTGTGCATTCCTCAGGGATGCCTGTGCCTGGAACCCTTCCCCATCTGCAAATCCTTTCTGGGAGTCAGTAACCAGGACCAGGAAGGCACCAGACCCTTGACCACACAGACATGCCACCCCAGGCCTGGCAGAGAGGGAAGAGATGGGCTCCCAACTCTCTTACACCACCAGACATGAAGTTTTCTCACTCTGAGCCCATGGTGTGAGGTGTCTCTATCAGCAGACTGATCATGCCAGAAAGTTCTGATGGATGAGAACAAGACACCTCTACTACACTCTCATTCCCCATGATGTGCCAAAGCCCAGAGATGGCAAACCATTATCCTGCCAGCCTACTTCTTGATGTCTCTCCATTTCCATATTTCCTCTAACACAGGGTACC